CGGGGGGCATGGACTCGGGCGGCAGGAACTCCTCCGGCGCCCCAAACAGCACCCTGAGCGAGTCTCAGGGCAGCGCCATCCTCATCTCCTTCATCTACTCCGTGGTGTGCCTGGTTGGGCTGTGCGGCAACTCCATGGTCATCTACGTGATCCTACGCTATGCCAAGATGAAGACGGCCACCAACATCTACATCCTCAACTTGGCCATCGCGGACGAGCTGCTGATGCTCAGCGTCCCCTTTCTGGTCACCTCCACCCTGCTGCACCACTGGCCCTTTGGCTCGCTGCTCTGCCGCCTGGTGCTCAGCGTGGATGCCATCAACATGTTCACCAGCATCTACTGCCTGACCGTGCTCAGTGTGGACCGCTACATTGCTGTGGTGCACCCCATCAAGGCGGCTAGGTACCGCCGGCCCACGGTGGCTAAGATGGTCAATCTGGGCGTCTGGGTGCTTTCCATCCTCATCATCCTGCCCATCATCATCTTCTCCAACACGGCGGCCAACAGTGATGGAACGGTGGCTTGCAACATGCTCATGCCAGAGCCCACCCAGAGGTGGCTGGTGGTCTTTGTGGTCTACACCTTTCTGATGGGCTTCTTGCTGCCTGTGGTGGCCATCTGCCTCTGCTACATCCTCATCATTGCCAAGATGCGCATGGTGGCCCTCAAGGCTGGCTGGCAGCAACGCAAACGCTCGGAGCGCAAGATCACCCTCATGGTCATGATGGTGGTGATGGTCTTTGTCATCTGCTGGATGCCCTTCTACATCGTGCAGCTGGTCAATGTCTTCGTAGAGCAGGATGACGCCACCATCAGCCAGCTCTCCGTCATCTTGGGCTATGCCAACAGCTGTGCCAACCCCATCCTCTATGGCTTTCTCTCGGACAACTTCAAGCGGTCCTTCCAGCGGCTGCTCTGCCTCAGTTGGATGGACAATGCCGCAGAGGAACCCATCGACTACTATGCCACTGCCCTCAAGAGCAGGGCATACAGCATAGAGGACTTTCCCCCAGACAACTTGGAATCAGGGAGCATGTACAGGAATGGCACTTGCACCTCCAGGATTACCACCCTCTGAGGAAGCATTCCTGCCCCCCCCGCTCCCCTACTGCCCCCCAGCAGGAGGGTGAGCAAGGCCAGGGCTGTGGCATGGGGAGGCTGGGAGGGAGGGGGTTTCGGTCCTGCCCACCAACAGCAGTGTTTGGCACAAGAAGGAGCAAAGAAAACCCCATGTCCTTGCTCTGCTGCCCCATCCTCCCCCCGCCTGCCTCCCTTGAGCGCGGGTGTGTTTGCTGATGCTTTGACACCCACTCAGCAAATTGCCACAATTGTGGGTCGACTTAGGGTCTGGCAGCCAGGCTCTGCCACCCCTCTCTGTGTCTGAGGAGTGGCTGTATGGGTCTCGCAGCGACTCCCCCCTCGCCTTTTGTACATGTTGCCCTCCCCCTCGGTTGGTGGGACCCCCCCAGGCCACTGAGTCGAGCCTGCTTCAGTCAAGCCCCAGCATTCAGGCTCAGACTCTCCCTGACTAAAAGCGACCCTGCTCAGCATCTGTCAGTACGCACCTTCCCTTCAGAGAGTAGAAATGCTGTAAAAATCCGCCCCCTCTGCCCCCCAACACACACCTTGCCCTCCCCCAGGAAGGAGCAAGTAGCCTCTCTCTGCGCCCCCCTTCCTCCCCCTGGAATAAAAAAGAAATCAGGGAGCAAAAAGGCCCCGAGAAAAGCAGCATAGTCACAGAGCTATCTTTTGCTCTGCAGACAGCTTCCACCTCACTGGGGCTCTTGCTCTATGTGCTACGCTCAGGGGAAGCAAAGCAGAAAAGGTCTTTGGAAAAAAAATCTGTTTATTGCTGTGCTTCAGAGCTGCGCAGCAGGTTTCTGATAAGGAGAGATAAACAGTCCCGTGACTCACAGGGAGAAGAGCACTGAGCTGGGAGTCGGGGGGAGCACTGAGCCGGCAAATGTTTGAATGTGTCCATACATACGATAAAGTGTGCTAATAATAAAGTTTAAAGGGAGCACTAGACTGTGAAGCTATTGTCTTGCGCCTGCTCCATCAGCTGTGAAACAGCGATGAAGGGACCTGAGACGGTTTTGAATGACCTGGGTGGCCTCAAAGTCACTTTAGCCTACATGGAAAAAGAGGGATTTGTTTCAAAACCTCCAGGCTCTGAAATAAATACTTGACAAAAGAGTAGCTGTTTGATAATAGCTATTACCCTAGCTCCAGTTTCTTCTGTTGCACTAAAAAAAAAACCCACAAAAGGGTTTCATATGTTGCCAATGTAATATACTGGCCCAGAGCTTCTTAATGTTTCACTTCTGAGAGTTCTTGTTTTTAGTGTGTGCCAGACGTCTTTCTGTTTGATTTTTTTATTTGATTCTTGTCACTGTGTTGTGAACGTGTTTCTCTGAAGCAATTTATACTGTGTACTTATGTCTGTGGTGGCTACTTGCAAGGTTGAATTTAAAATGGGTGATGCTCAAGAAGGCTCCTTTTCAGATAAAAAGGTTGTCACTTTTTCTAACTCTTTCATCTACTTTGTCTCCACCACAAAAATTCTCTCTTGAATTTTGTCTCTTCTCCTCTTTTGACAGAACAACTTTCGTATAGATGAATGAAGCTTTCTTGTTTGATAAATGACAGCTGATTAAACAAAACCTTCTATCCCTGCTCCCTCTTACGCCAGACATAAGAATCGGTACGGACCGTGTTGAAATAAGCAGCTATGTTTTTTGCTTTCTACCACCTATGTTAACAGTGTCACACAGTGGCAGGTGTCCCAGTAGCTGTGACAAATTACTTCTCTAGAACAACACTGTGGTTGTATTAATTATAACTGCTGGCAATCTGAAGCAAGAGATTGGGAAAAATCTCTAGTAGCAGCATACCCGTAGCATTGTACTGGTAGCTATGGTGCTTAAGTACAGTGTTAAGCATAAGGTTGATTATTACGGAAACTAGCATTTGTGGTGGTGGACTTACTACAGGTTTTTGTTAAATTATACTCTTTAACTTTTCTCAGCAGCAAAAGGCAGGATACTACTTTGTATATTTCTTTCACCAAGAATTAGATACTGTTAAATGAATGTATGAATTTAGTATTTCAAAGTTGTCTGATTCAAAGCCCATTGAAATGAGAGAAAAAAATCCTAATGCACTTCAATGGACTGTGAGTCAGCTCCTTTTAGTTTAAAAATTGCTAATGTGGAAGCTGTTACATCCTTATTAAAATATTTTGTGAAAAGCTTTAACAACTGTAGTTTCTTTCTTTTACTTCCAGCAGACCTCATTTAAAGAAAACATGCAAATATTAATTTTAGTAATGTTTTACATGCACATATGGGGAAAAAAGGGTGAAATCTCCTTATAAGCTTATTTAACTTTACACAGAAACCAAATGTCTGTCAAAACAGTAAAATGCCCCCCGATACCACACAATGCTCTTTGTAGAGCTTCACTTAAAATCTCACTCTCACTCAATCTCTTCAAAATGTATAAATCTCAATCTTACAAGGTCTTTACACCTAGGCATATTGTTATGTATGGTCAGGTTAAACAGAGAGTCAGTCTACTTTCTACTGTTGGATTTGTTTAACATCAGACAGGGTGAAGCAAAAGTTAAAAAGCAGTGATTCGTACCCGATAGTCACCTTTGATAAAGAGTTGAGCCTGTTTGGGGGTTTTGGTTTTTGTTTTACTTTGCCTCTAAACACAGCTGTGATGGATGCCTGCACACCTACCAGCACATGCACTGTAATTTCGGGTCTCCCAGGCAGAGCGCAGCTCATCCTGGGCAGAGCAGCCGGGTGCTGCAGCGGAGGCTGCTGGTGCCTCAGCAGATGGCAGGCTTCCCTTGGCAGGGGTGCGCTCACTCACTCCCAGCCAGCAGTGCCCCTGTCAGGACTGGCTAAGAACATCCTCTGTAGTTTCAGCTGGAAACAAAATCTGTTTATCCTAAACTAACAGTTCTTCCCGGTATTTTTTCACCTTGAGTTTAGTTTTGACTTTGGCAGGGGGAGAGGTGATCAACAGCTGTAAATTACTCTTAATTTGCTTTGGAAGAAAAAGTTGGTTCATTCTGTGTTATTATTCTAAATAGTAGAATGTAACTACCTGAAAAAAAAAGTTGTCTTCATGAAAAAAATGTGCACCGGAAAACAAATAGAACTCTTTTCAATGCTTTCCAAACTGCAAATAAGAGTCTTTACATTTCATATGGAAATGATTTGAACTAATGCTTAATTCATGGGAAAAAAAGAGTACAGTGACGTATTTCTTGGTGATGTTTTGCCTCTTTATACAGCTGTAAGAATTTTCATCTACAAATGGGCAAACTGTAATTTATAACCAGTACTATGTTGCTGCATTTTATCCATGAGTATACTATTTTAAAAATACTGCATACACTTTGTCATGGAAATTGGCCCCGTGCCACTGAAATCCATGCAACTTTTGTTGTTCTTTGTTTAGCCTAGGACCTATACCCCAAAGTGTGATAGCTCTGGCTAGTATCTAGTCAATGGGCTGGCCTATTTCCTGTGGCAGACACAAAGAGAGAATGGTCTTCACATGGCACATATCTCAGGTACCTCTGCAGCATTTTCCCACTCGAAGGAAGGTATGCAGGAAATTACTCTCCTTTCTCACTAGGCTTCCCAGCACAGCAGCAAAGAACATGCATCTCATAATGCTGGGGCTGACTGCTATGTGCCGTTAGTGGGCTTCAACCAGGCTGGCTGCAGAGGCTTTATATCGGGCCTGTGGATGAAAAAGGTGATGGCCACGTGCAGATCCTCTGTCTCTTGAGGTGGTCCCTACTGCAGAGAACATCACACAGTGTATGGTTTCTTTGCATTTGACACTTAAAGAACCCATCTGATTTCTTCACAGAGTAGAAGAATCAGATTTCTGAATGTGACGTAAGTGTTTCTGAAATGCCAGGTTTCCAGTGAATCGGAGTAAAATAAAAGGCTTTCTGGTTCTTTTAAAAAAAACCTAAAAGTCTGCATTTCAAATGTGTGTGGCACACTATTAACACTGTGACCATATACTGTATTTTAAACAGTTTCCCAAAATCAGCATCCTAATTTTAAATATTAAATCATCTTACTGAAATAGAATGAGCCACTGATGAATAAGGTATGTAAGATTTTACTTTTCTCTGCCATGTTTCCAGAACAGCAGTGTAAATCAGTGTCTTAAAATCCTGCCCTCCCCGCCAAAAAAAATCCAAGAAAAATAATCTTTTAAAAAGCCAGAAGAAATTAGCCAAGAAAGAAATGTCAATCCAGTGTTCTAGACTCTGTGATTTCAGCCCCTAGAAACCTTAACTGACTCCAGAGCTCTACAGACAAGAATGTGAATTATGAATCTCTAGAGGAGAATAAAATATTTCTACTGCATTGTGTATTCAGCATTTCCATCCTCTTCGACACAGAGCCTTATTGGACCGCTAACTGCAGGCTAAGCCACAGGAAAAGAGGGTAATTTACTAATCAGATTACTCTCTGAGAATAATGCTTTTAGATGTTATATTTTGTAGAGAGAAATAGCCAAGAAGAACAGGTGAACCATAGAGTATTTCAAAGTATGTCACTAGACAGCTATAAACCAAGCATAGTTTTGACAAGAAAGATGCTTTTCAATAGAAGCTAACTATGCCCACACCCTTCCAAAAGCCTAAAATCTGGCTTTGGCAGACTAGTAAGCAGCCATGAAGCAGGGACAGCAAGGTGGTGTATCCTACCTGAGATATATCGGTTTTCATTTCCAGTCTGGATGGAATATATTTGTCATTATATGCTTATCGTGTCTATGATGGGTTGTCACGTCCCAGTCTCTCAGGACGATGACTCAGGTTAGCTGATTCCCAGGTCAGGATTAAGGTGAGACGACACCAGGGATCCTTTAACTCACAAAACTCAACTTTTACTCACTCACAACAAGAATTGGCATGCTCACCACAAAAATCAGCATGAAACTATGCCAGTAAACTGTGTAGCCATGTGCTAACCATACATCATCAAATATATACTACAGGCCTTGCTTATTTGGGGATCAGTTCAGGGAAGACAGTAAGGAGAGCCCTCCCATTGGGTCACGAGGTTCAGAGCAGAGCCCCTTTTGCTTTCTATACTCCTTCTCAGAGAGGAGCCTGGGGACAGCTGGATCCGCTCCTAGTCCCAGACTTGGTCAGCGGTTTATGTCCAAAGGGATAAAGTGTTAGGATTACGGAGAGAGGGAGGACAGAAAGATGTCAGCGTCCTGGGTCCAGCATTGGTCCCACCAGCCAAGGGGTCCCGTTCCAGTGGGCGCACGCCCATGGGGCTTCAGTTTGTGTCCTTTTATCATCCTTGCCCCCCCTTTGGGTGGGCACTCAAACTCATTAGGCTAATTAGGTGTCATGAGCAGTTTGTGAGCCTTTGGGAAAGAGGTCCATGGGCTTGCGGGGTCGTTTGGGGAGTAACTTCCCGTTCCCTGCAACGTGATCTTTGGCCATGCAGGGTTAGCTGTCCTGCTCGGCACATCCAAACCAGCATTACCAGATCGGGGAGCTGTGCACCCTCCGGCCCACCCTCCCTCTCCTGTTGCTGCTGGGTGCTGCTGGGCTTCTCTTCACCTGGGGTTCCTTGCTAGGCAGAGTTCCTTGTTATCCAGAGTTCATCTTTAAACAGACAGGTTAAACAGACAGGTCCTTTTATCATCCTTGCCCACTACGATGTTTGAGGCTTTAAGTCTTTCAGTCTCTCTCATGGGCAGACTAACCTTGAAAGCAATGTAAATGTACAGAAGACCCATTCTACTCTCCCTTTTCCCAAGAAAAGTCTTTTCTACACAGGTTCTTATGCTGTGTAATACGACTTGAGGGTCATTCTGTGGGTTCTTGAGCTTCCTAACTAAAAACGCTCATCTAAAAGTGCCCAAACGCATAGCATATGGGGGTTGTAGGGCAGACAAGGCTTACAAGATTTATGACTTGGGACCTGCTGATCCCTGTGATAATCATGCTAATTGGATTGTATTGGCCATGCGTACATTGCTGGTGACAGTGCTCTTTCAGTGTATGTGTGGGCCCTCCCGATCGCACAGCTCTGTAAGACATCCCAGAGGGAAGCTGTGAGCTTCTGCAAGGGTGCTGCAACACACTGCTCTGCATCATGCTGAATAAAGCTGAGTAACGGCGGTGCTGGCACTGACTGATAAAAGCGAAGGGCCACAAGTTCAGCTGATTCATGCAGGACTTGCGGGTACTCAAATTTACAACAGCAAGCTCAAATGATTGCTGGTCAGCTGGAATAGTTCAAAATGTGGCAAAGCTGTACAAAGCAAGCATGTATGAATGTATACACACATACACAATGTGCATGCGCATATATACGCTTCTTTCTTGTGAAATATATAAACACCCTGTTTGGTCCATTACCCAGCATGTAAAGGGATGAATTAGAATGAATATTGGCTACAAAGGAATTTACTAATAGTAAAATTCAGATTTCAGTGGCTGGACAGGTAGGTAGCACAATTTTACTATTTAGGCAACAGTAAGCCTTTGGTTTGCTTTTGTGCTGCTCTGATGTGTAGAGGAAGTTGGTGCATTAATTCTGCTAAGGAGGTGAGTCCCTGCCTGATGAAGTTGGAACTGGCAGGAGATCTTACAGAAAAAAACGCAACTAGTGTTTGATTTAGAACTGGAGTGGCTATATTTGGAGATATCCCTTTGATGTTCAGAAAGTTTGGAGCTTGCTAGCACTCACTGAGAGCTGCAATTGCCCAGCACTTCAGGAAATCACTCCCCATGCCTACTACATGGACCAACCACACCCTTCCCCAGCTGGGATAAGATAAACATCTCCATCAGAGGTCTAAACCAGGAAACTAGTGGAGGCTATGATTATGGTCTTTTCACTATTTAAGTAGGTTAAATACATTATAATATATTGTAAATGTATACAAAAGTACATCGTCTATGACAGTACCAGCTATAGGCTGGGGATCTTGTTGCTCTCTGGTTTCTGTTAAAAACAGACATAGATGGATCTTGCCCCCTTAGCCAGTCAATGAGAGACAAGTCATGGATAAAAGAAAAATTTGAAAAGCATTGGATTATTGAACAGAAAATCAATACCAGTATTAGTGAGTTTATTTTCCTAACACTGCAGCAGAATTATTTTGTATATCATTTGGTCACAGAAAGAAAAAAGACACTTTTAGAAGCTAAACTGACTGTACAATATTGTAAAGAAGCTTTCTT